TCGTAGTGATTAAGGTATGCGAAGACGATGGGTAAATGGCGCGTATTGGTTTGTCAGGCGTGTCGATGTCCGCTCCTGCGGGTTTCGAGGTGTAACGTGGAGGTCGAGGTGCAGGTGGAGATTCGGCAAGTTCGGAAGGTCGTGATTTTCTTAATATGGCGTCAGGATTGGCTATGAAGTTGGCTGGCAGATTGAATGGCATAAGATCGGCAAGTTGTTCGTAGTTCAGGATGTCAAGGTTGTCAAGGGTGTCAAGATTGTCAAAAAAAGAGAAATAAGGTTCTGAGAACTAGATTAAAAAAGTGTAAGGTTCTATATAATGGAACCTTCACTAGACTCTCGGGGACTTCTCACGGTGGAATCTAACCACTGAAGACTAATCTTTTACTCGTGTGCATTACAATTTCCTAGCTAGCTCCAGTCGGGGTTCGTCATAAAGAGAAACAACAATCAGAATGATATATAGAAAATGAAATCTAACAGAGTAATGATGACTCTTACCTAGCTCCAGTCGGGGTTCGTGAAGAGAAGAGAACCCAACGTGGAGCCAGGGTTAGTAGTGAATAAGCGTAAACCACCTGTCTAAACCCATGCTGTATGTATCCTTACAGTATGCCACACTTCCAAATGAACAAGACCTACTGCAGAAGGAAACTGATCAATATGAACACATGATTACCTGGTGTAGATTCCCTCAAGATCATGAAGAGGATGTAGCAGCCAGAAAAAAAACCTGTTCCACATACCTTCAGGAGATTTTCAAGATTAAAACATCAGGAAAGATAAAGAACTTCTGAGTATTTGCAACTGAAATTGCTCATGATTGTATGTCAACACCAGTTTTTCAGAAGGCTTTTGATGAGATTTCAAACAAGAAATACATATGTCTGCAAGTGTGGTATCCAAACATGAAATCAAAATGAAAGAGAACATTGCACACCTCATAATATATACTGCTTTCGTGTGTGTGGTTGTTGTATTTATTTATTTGGCTCCCTAATCTGTTACATCTTGCTAAAATCCACTCAGCAAGGGTTTACACTACCATGACAAGAATTAAACATTTTTAGATTCAAAATTCCAAGCCAACAATGAGAATGATATATATGAAGAAACTTGAGGCTGTGAGTACCCTAGCAGGAGAAGCATTGACCTGGGAGAAATTCAAATTTGAGTGTGAAGATCAAAACTTGGCACATTGTGGGGAGAAAAGCACCACAATTGGAGAGAAGCAAACTAATATTGAAGCAAAACAAGTCAAGTTAGAAGCCAAGAAGAACAACCATTCACTTGCCTGATCTCAAGAGAATTTCAACCTAGAGACCACTCAATCATATGCATTAGAAGAGTCATTAGCTTGCTCGGAAGTCTTGAAGGCTTGTATGGACATGATGGATAGATGTCAAAATGATGGTATGTCCTTTGATCAAATATTGGACTATCTGAAGAGAATATTGGGAAATTGAGAGTGTTTTTCATTGTCTTTCACTTGTTGTAATCAAACAAAATGTCAAGTATCTATCATCAGAAATGTCAAGGATCTATTATCAAAGATTTAAACTCTTTTGTGATCATTTCTTGTTCTGAACCAAATCAGTTTATTTGCATATTCAAGTTTTTTTACTCACATGAAAGTATAATCATTGGCTTCTTTGCATGGGAAGTACAAGTGAATTGATGAACAAAAAGTCTTTTACTAAATGTCTTCTTAAGCAAAAGCCACAGTAAAGTCTCACACTAGCTATCTGCCTAGATGACCCAATTCATTTTCTCCAACATCATTCTTATCCAAAGTCAAGACCCCTTGATATGTGTCATTTGCATACTCATCATCATACTCCTCCTTCCATTGATCTCCCAGCACAGCAAGGAAGTTGTTTAGGATGAGACAACTATGTCTCTCATTTTACAGATTATTTCTGCCTCAGCCAAGTTCTTCTTTTGTTGCAATGTGCTGACCATCTCAATTGATTTATGGAAGATGATCAATAAAATAATTGGAGATAAATTGCCTTTGATGGATTTGGTAAAGAAAGAACAAGGAAGGTTCAAAATTCAATGTCAAATTTGCTCCTGATCACAGATCATCTGGTGCAGTGCTGTCCAGATACTAAAACAGACAAGTTTGCTAATTTAGGGCTCATATATTTCATTTTCACAGCATTTCTGTATGAGATTGGAGAAGTTTCTAAACATACAGTGCTGTAAAAACTAGTCTGTTTTTTTTGATTTTCACAAAAATATCAAAACTTGAAACCCCCTATTGGCAGATTATATCCAGTCTACAAAAGAAGTGTGGGTTTAAAAGTCAGATCTCCTCAAAAGTCTATAGGTTTTAGCTTTGGGTCCCCAGATCTTTGCTAAATTTCTGAGTGAAGGAACCACATTTTGATCACAGTGGTAGCTGCAAGGCTTGGCAATATCCTCTCAAAGATGTGAAGAAAGATCTAAGATTTTGGTTCAAATGTAAATTGTTCAGGCTTTTGATAGTATTGAGGATATGAGTTGCCATTCTGGTCTATAAATTATCACAAACAGACATGCCTTTCTACATAGATGCCTTTCTACATAGATACAAAATCCCACCAAGATACTTGGGAATCATTTGAGTTAATGGAAAATCTAATTGTGAATGAAGTCAAGATGAATGATCTGGATATGATCATTGAAAAGTTCCTCACCATTTGAACCCCCTTGAGATTAAATCCCCAGGACAACTTTATAGTCAGATTCATCAAATGTAGTCTGCAAGAAACCAACTCTGGAACCCTCACACGAATTGAATGAGCAGGTCTAAGAAAATTGTTCAGGAGGAACATTGTTTCAAAAAGAGGAAGATTGATATTTTCCAAGCTCAAGGGGGATCTAGGAATTAAAGTGTTGATTTATACAGACCTACCAGGTTCCATGGAGTTTCAGATGCTGTGCTCCAAGACAGTGGCTTGTGATTGCTTTGGATGCTAGGGGTTTGAGTATAAATATCAGGCCAAAATTGTCAATAAAATGGGGGATGTCTCCCCAGTTGGTGGCACAGGCTCCAGGGGACTTCTCTGGAGTTGGTGGGGCTTGGGTCATGCTAGTGTATATTTGGTGTTAAAATAGCTTTTGACCATCAAATTTGCACAAAGCTCCCTACTTGAACACTTACCACCTAACCAACCTTGATATCTCTCAAATTCAGAATCTTGCACAAGTCTTTCACACAAAGTTTGAGCTCTCTGTTGACTGCATTAGGAGCTCCATGAGACCAGTGCAGTGAGTTTTTCCATTTTATCACACATTTCACATTACAGGCCCATTCCCTGTCAGATACATCAAAAATGGGAAAACAAATATGTTGACTTTACACAACCCAATGATGATGCTCAAGGTGGTCAATTGAGCTTGGATCTTGCAGTGAATATTTCACACTCTTTACCTTGGCAAGGGCTGTCCAAAGACTGTGAACAGGCTGTGCAAAGGCTGTGAAGAGTATGCACAGGCTGTGCACAGCCATAACTTTCGTCCAGAGATTGTGAATGATTCACTAAGGGATTTCAAATTTGATTTTTAGGTGTTATTCAAAATCAGACAAGTTGTAAAAATCTTTGTAAAACCAACATATTTCAAATTCAGTACACCTTTTTTTCAGGTGGGCTGAATAACAAATCAAGCATACTTTGCAACAAAGAGCAAGCTGTTGTAGCATATAACAACATAAAAAAAGCCCACTTGAAACCCCTCAATACCAGGTCTCTGGTATTGTGGCCATCTGACTATTCTGCTTGGATAATGTTTTGAGATTCTCTTATCTGTTCATGTGATCAATGTTCTTGGTTTTGTGTTGAATAGCCCACAGGGAATTGAAATCTGTGACGTGTTCACTGTGGTCTCTCAAACTCTAACACAATATTTTGTGATATTATCTGCAATATACTTTCATTATTCAAAACCAAAATTCCAGGAAGAATTGTTGAGAGTTCATAATTTTTAACAAATAGCTTGAAGTTAATTTCTCCAATACTTAGACAAGCAAAATTTGAAAACCAGCAATGAAAGGCTTCATCATAAAGACCATCATCACTTGGATCTATCTCACACTGCAGCTGGGTTACTTGGTCACCCTTTCCTCTGCCATGTCTGGCTTAGAATTTGGAGAAGATGCTTGGGGTACCATAGGTGAGCACATTTTCAAATCTGGGATTTGTGGACTCAATAAAGAAAACATGGTTCCTTGCATGGGCCACTCCTTTCACAGACAAACTTTACCCTTCAGATTGGCGTAAGACTCCAGGTTTACCTGAGCTCAGCGCAAGAGAACAGCTTCAATCTTATTTAGAAAGAACCACAGAGGAACGGAAGAACTCTGGCCCATTCTTTTGTGGTTTGCATCCTTCTGAGAATGGTATGCCACTGTTTCAAATTAGATCCATATAAAAGATACAAGCCAATAACACTTGAATCTAGAACTACCTGGTGCAGATGCCTTGAAAAAAATGAACACAATGTTGCAGTCAGAACCAGAGGCTTGGCCCAGTCATATCCATGATGTATTCAAGACCCAATTATCACATCACATGGTAAACTTCTGGATATTCATGACAGAAATTGCAAATTTTATGCCAACACCAGTTCTACAAAAGACTTTGGTTGAAGTTATAATAGAAAAAGACAGATTGTGGTCACCACCAGCTGAAGAAGAGAGTCCAAGGATAGCAGCAATATTGTATGATTTACAGATCAGCTATGAAGATAAAATGAGAGAGCATGTCCAATTACTCAACAATAAAGAGTATGTGAATTAGATTATACAGACTGTTCATTTCTGCATCTTTTTTGATAGAATAGCATTTATGATACTGCTCCCAGGAAGCCCCAGGAAGTAGTGGATGTATTTGCAGAAGTGGTGGATGTCTTCTCAAGACATGAGCAAGAGAGAATGGGAGAGTATGGTATCCGCCTTGCAAAAGAGTGGTCATCTGGTGAGCAGGTGGAGCTGTATAAACACTGGGCTTCTCGTGAGTAATTTAGCTTTGCATTATGAAATAGACGGGACCCAACTTAATCCACACCTTGATTTTAAGATATGATCTTATACAAGAGAGTGAAAAGTGACCTCCAGGTAATCATTGAGAGTCAAGCAATCAAGGTCAGCTTGATACGATTGAACAAAAGAATCTCATTAAAGATCCCTGCAGTAAATTATGAGACTCACCAGTGTCTTGAGAATTGAATGAGCGGACGTTGTAAATCTTTTACAAAAGAGATTATAGATTTTATCCACACTGCAGATGATGAGTGGGTCAAAATCAAATTCTTTGCACATATTCCAGAATTGAAAACTATTCAGAGCTAATTTTCTTGGTTCACCAGCTTGACGTATGACTTTTGGATCCACCAAACAAACTATACTTATGGTCTTCGTACATTTTGGGTACCTGATGTTGAAGCGGTGAAGATAATTCAAGTATTCTGGGTGCGATGTAAGTGAAGTCCCAGTTTTTTGGCAGTATATATCTAAGCTACCATTCCATTTCACAAAACTCCACAAACAGATATGGTGTTCTACCTAGAAATGATATACTGCACACATATAGAAGATTTTGTCATCTTTATGCAGAAACTAATCCTGAATGAAGTTAAAGACAATGACTTGGATCGGGTTATGGGGCTTTTTATGAAAATTGAAATTCCTTTGATACCCCAGAACAATTTGATAGTCCGATTCCTTACATTCCTTCTACAAGAAACCAAATCCCAAACCCTCAAACAAATGACAAAGGAATGTCTAGAAGCTAGAAAATTAAAAATTGATGAGGAAATTCGAAGAAAAAAGGGGCAAAACAATCTGGAAGCTGGGATAAGTAGCCTGGAGTTATGAACTTACAAAAATTAGGAGGATCAATACATAAAAGTATCAGTATGTTGATTTAAGTTTAAGGAGCATATGATAAAACTGGATCATGTTAAGCTCAAAATTCCTCAAAATAAGTGCAGTGGCACAAAATAAAAAGGCTGATTAGTTACAGCTGGTTTATCTAACGTTGGATTTTTGTAGCCAGAGCATAAATGTTCATACTGTTCCCAGATACGATTTCCATCTTGTTGTCACTATTTTGATTGCCTATAAAGATCTGTCAGACTCAAACCCACTGTGTTGACTGAATCATAGGCTAACTGGCTAGCCCCATGGTGTCCAAGCTTTTAACAATTAGCCTGGGAATTGAAAGGTGGAAACCTCATATCTGGTGGCCTGAAAGGTACAAGGCAAACGGTGCTGCTTTAACCTCTCACTGTCTCAAAAGCTTGATATGATTTGCCAGGATTTGTGGCTCATCTGTCAAGTTGTGGACAAGGACCACCGTGCCTGTGTCAGTGGGGTACTTGGTTGATGCCAAGTGCACACCCATGCCCAGCTTTGGGGTAGACAAGGAAGTTTTTGTGCACTTTTTTCTGGGTACATCAAAACAGTGAACTAGAGCAGGGCACAGTGCACACAGGGGTGCAAGAGCCCTGCCTGGAGTAGGGCTTTAACTTTGATAAAGCTGGTGGGGTGCGGTCCTACTCGTGAACAGAAGGGCTTTTCACCGATCAAAGTCCATTGGCGGCTGCGCGTACCAAGTGAAAGTTCAAACTTTTTGCTGGCTGAATGCGACAGGCTGCTAATTTTCATCCTCAGGTTGTTCATGCTATGAACAAAGTGTGGAATGTACTTTCGACTTTCAGAGTATCATCATTCATACCCAATCATATCTTTGGTCGGAAGGAAATCAGCAATTCGACCTCGGCCTTGGCGAACTTGTCCGATCATCCGTTCTTACCTGAAAGTCATCTTTTGGCTCAATCTCGACTCTTGGTGTCCAGAAAAAGCAATCAAGAAGAAACCTCGTTGCATCAGTTTAATCGTGAACGTGATGCTCAACTCTCATCAGTAAACGATCCTGAAGACGCTATTATCCTCCAGGGAATAGACACTCATCCACCTTCAGACGAGATCGATGAGGCTTGGGACGCGTTTCACAAGTCTGAAGGCATTCACTTTGTCGACTCGAAAACAAAATCAACAGAACCTCAATCGTCGGCAAGGTCAAAGCCTGTGTATACGCCATCCCCAAGCCACCCTTCACCCCTGAGCCCTTTCACGGAGCGATCTCAAACTTCAAATGCATTGCCTTGCCCTTCTCGAGACCAACCTGAATTCTCCAGTCTCGAGTGGCGCACCCGTGCAAAGTCTCAAACAAACATGGATTATTCTCGAGCTTTTCAGATCAAGCGTGACTTGGCCGACGCCTCGAGTCAATCGCGATCCACTTCATCTCTCATCAATGAGGAAGAAGCTTGGCTATTTTTTGACCAGGATACCTCCTCCAGCACGCTCGCTACCAAGTCTCAAGTACTATGTCAGGCTCGCGCGGTGGAGACAGACCCGTATGCACAGGAAGCAGCCCGCTACATTGAATCGTGGTCGAAGGTGATGGAGATGGAACGGCAAAATGAAGCTTTCACCGCGATGAAAAGATTGTATGACATCCGACGCAGAAGTGGTCATAGATATAACCCGCTGGGTAAATCACTGGTCAATATGGTCATAACTCCTGTGGATCCGCCTGACTATATCAAGTCTGCACATAGAAGTGATATCTATCTTCGGTTGGAACGGCCTGATGAAAGTGACATTGGTCTCTGTAATTTTCGGCACGTGATATCATCACTTAGTTGGATCCCAAAGATCGACGAAGCTTATGTCTTGATTTATGTCTGAACATCAGGAATGGTGACCACCTTCTCTTGTCAGCAGAGCCCGAGAGAGATTTTGCTGATGGCGCAAAGCCTACCGAGCCCATGCCCAAGAATTTTTCCAAAGATATCTTTATATCTTGTCGTCTGGTCTCGAAACGTACCTATCATCTGATAGTACGGCTGGAGAACAGCGATGCAGATCTGACTTCGGAGATGTACCGGTCAGTTGTGTCTCCAGCTTTCCTTGTATTCATCCCATCCACCAGTGACTGAGTGCCGCCGACTTGCTCAGTCTTGACTATGGTTGGGACGGGACTTCCTTCGATCGAACTTCCGCAGCTGTTCAGGCCCTTCACGATGATCCAGATGCTCTGCGAAGAAATCTGACGGAGAAGGATATCGAGAGATCAAATATTAAAATAACTGGATCGTCTCTCCGCCACCCCCTTCTGTTCGCCGAAAATAATGAGTCGTTTGCCCACGATCCAATTACGACACATCCTAGTTCAATCTCACCTACCTTTCATCTCTTCACGCGCGATCAAAGAATCAATAGCTGGGCTAAGCGTCATCTTCGCCACCCTCCCCTGAAAATGCCTGGTGACCCTGATCTGGGCCATCTCAATGAACCACAAACACGCGCAATCGCTATGGCTATCTCTTCGCCTCTATCCTTGATTCAAGGCCCACCTGGCACCGGAAAAACTCAAACCATCATTCAGATGGTCGCGCTTCTCAAAATACATTTTCAAGTCTCACAGCCCATAGCTGTATGTGCTCCTACCCATGTATCTGTGGATAACCTAGTCTTAGGCCTTGTGAAAGCTGGCTTGAAGCCAGTACGATGTGGTGAGCATCTCAAAGTAGCTTCCGAAGTGGCTCAATATTCGTTAGAAACCCTGGAGCTGCAGCACTCCCTGACTCCAACTATTGATGCCAAGAACCGCCGATTGGAATCCTTAACGAAAGATTTGGACGCGATTGAAAAGCGTTGGCGAAATGTCAAACCAGCCGTCTCGTCAAAGCGCCAACCTGCCAATACCAAACAGGCTAGAGTGCTTGAAATACTGAAGAGTAAGAATTGCATCATCTCTCTAGCCATGCTTCTACTTACAATATTGCATTCTTGAATCGTCATTAAGCCGAGTACAAAAGATTATTGTACGAAGTATATATACTCAAGCGTCGACGTCAACTCCAAATCATCGCATCCTCAGATGTGGTCTGTTGTACTTGTCTTGGCGCCGGTGCCAGCGGCCTCGAAGCGGTCGAATTCGCCTCAGTCATCATCGATGAAGCCGCAATGTGTCATGAGCCAACCGCTCTGGTGCCATTGACAAAAGGTTCGGCCCACGCAGTCTTGGTAGGTGATCATAAACAGCTACCAGCAATCACATTGAGCCCGGCTGCCGAAGCCCACGGATTTGGGATCAGCCTATTTGAACGTATTCAGAGTCAGCAAAGTGTACAATCTATCCTACTTCACAAACAGTACCGCATGAATCCTATCATCTCCGCATTTCCCAATGCTGAATTTTACGATCACGCGTTGGTGGATTCGATTAAGCCTGACTCTATCAAACCCGTCTACTTTCATTTCGACCGATCTCTTGGACCTGAACAAAAATCAAGAGCTGTCTCCTTTGTCACTCACAATCATCTAGAGACGAAAATTGAGAAAACATTGACGAACCAAACGGAAGCCGAGATTGTCCTTGGTATCTTACGTGACTTGCTTCGTACTAACCCAGAACTGAGTGGTCGCGATATCGGAATTATTGCACCCTATCGAGGCCAAGTATCACTGCTCCAATCACTGCAACGTCAACCCCAGAAAGCGAGTCTGATCCGTAATTCAGAACAATCGTATCGCAATGAAGTGGAAATCAATACTGTTGACGGCTTTCAAGGCCGGGAGAAACCTGTGATCATCCTATCATGTGTCCGAGGAAACTTTGAAAGACAAATCGGATTCCTGGCTGATCTGAGACGATTCAACGTTGCTGCTACTCGAGCTAAACAGAAATTCATTGTTGTTGGCCACTTGGATACTTTACAGTATGCTCGTGTAAATCGACATTTTAAATTTGGTGGACATTATAATGCAGAGGCATGGAGAAGGTGGGTTCAATGGGCAAAGAGTGAAAATCTATTGATTGATTCTGAGAAATTTCGAGGAAAATAGATGCGTGTACACCCCCACTTGTTTTTTGTGCTCATGTAAGTCCCTGGGCTTTACTTCTGATCTTTGGATTGGCTTCCGGTGCAGATATGATGTGCGGAAGGCGTTTTTCTGTTCATTGTCCTTGATCACTATGTTATGGATTGCTTTGTGTTGCTTCAATTCGCTTCTTACCAAATCTCTTAATTCTCTCGTTGTATGGAAATATATCTTATCGTAATGGTGTGGTTTCTCGATATTTTCAAGACCAGTAGGTGACATACCCCCTAGTATACTCGACTCGCTTACAATGTTCTATAGCAAAAATGTGTATCAAATCAATCACAACCCCTGGTCTGAATCTGCGCTGAAGGTCTCATCAGAGTCAAGGGGCGCAACTCCGTTATGATCAAAGGCGCACCAGTAAGCTTGAAAGTTCATTAAGGTTTATCAGGTCTTTGTCCGGTGTGCAGATCTCTTGAGCAAACTTGTATTCGCACTTCTGGCCCATTCAGTCGGTGGGCCATCAACTTTGGAGACTTCTTCTGGAAGCTGACAAATATTTATTTCTACCCAACCTTCCAAACGGATGCAGGCCTTTCATGGCCCACTTACTACCCAAGCTGCAAGGAGTCCATTTGCTCAAGTCATATTCGGTCAACTCTCTATGATAGAAACTTAACCCGAGAAGAATCACTCTTGTTACGGCTTGTGGACCCATGCGAAGCCACCCTGGTCGTGTGCGAGGTGGAAAGTTCGTCGAACAGTGTTTAAAGATAGACAGGCCAACATGAGGTGTGCTTTCCAAGGACATTTTTCGGATTGGTCTGATATCCGCTAATGACTCCGTCCATGTCAATAGCTAGATAGCGATACGGTGGTCGGTGCGTTTAGGAATTAGTTAGGTAGTGTCCAATTGTGCCGTGACGTTGTTTATTGGCTGCCCTGTTTTGTGGGACTACGGAATGTATGCTGAATGGATCAACGGTACCTGAAAAGTGGTAATTGTAGAATGATAGATCGTGAGTTGAGAAATATCTTGCCATCTTCTTTTTGATGCGCGTGCTACAGTTCAATCAACAGGTCAAAAATATAATCGACCAAGGAACATGCTGAGCAGGCACAGGGAAGTAAAAGACGATTGGTTGAAGTCAGTCAGTCATTCGACCTGCTATAAATCAATCCTTGTCTCCCTCTCGATATTCATTCCGTATCTCTTCTTTTATTTCCTATTCACCCTTATCATCGAAAGTTCTTGATCCATTATATCCTTAATAATTTCAATCCATTCCAATTCTTAATATCAGTTCTTCGTCCCTCTGTCAACCACAACCTTTCGTTCAACTTATTATCAATCATCCTCCTTGGATCTCTGTGATACCTCCTAAGCTTTCTGAAGCCCTCACTTTTACCGTTTGATCAGACTTTCTCAATCCTAGAAGTTTCGCAAATCAGATAAAATCAGTCATCTTTTGCAACTTAGCTCGTCGCCTACACTTAAGCAATTTACTATCTTACACCTTGTTTTTCTCAAGCGTCAACAAAATGTCTCCGACCATGAAATTTTATTTCGTCGTTTTAGTTCTTAGTCATTTCAGTCGTGTTGCTCGCGCCTGTGAAGGTTAGTCATTTTAAACAATCACTTTGAGCTGGCTTTTCGTCTTCCACCTTATCATACGCTGACCACTGAATCAATTTACACATCGACAGGTGCTTGTATCACTGATACAACGAAAGCGTTCATTGGCAATTATTCTCTGTACCATATTAACCCAGTCTTCGATTCTCTTGCGGACATGATTCACTCCAAGCTCCTCGCCGATCGTCCTATCAGTGATGTACATGCACTGATTGCACCGATCAACTCTCATTTCCACAATACCATCTATGATCAGACTGAGAAGGCGATCTTTCCTGGTTATTTCCACGGCAAATGCCAGCGTGTCATTGATGGTGTTTATAAAAACCCTGATGGATGTCCTAACCCAGATTGCCCAGTGTAAGTCGCTTTACACAAATAATTATCTGCAGAACCACACCTGCTGCCTTACTGATACTGGCGAGAATCTCTTGGCTTATATGTAGTGTTTGTGGTACTCCTGGATCAATGGTCCACTTCTACGACGTAAGTTTCCAATTTGATCCCGAAGGACTTTGATTTGATAGAGGCTTACGCACTAACATTTATCTTCTTTCTCATTGATATTCTAACAGAAACTCGTTTCCATTGTTTTTGAAGTTATGCAAAAAGCTTTACATACGGCTCTTCCAACTTCAGGCTCAGCATACGAAAGGCTTGAACAAGCAGTTTTATCTTTAGCGACTAGTTCTAGTCATAGACGCTCTTCTCTTTACGCTAGATCAAATAGGCCCAAGACTGTCTCTACACTTCCGACTCAATTTTTAAATCCTAGCTCTGAGCAAGATTCAAGCTCGGGCCAGCATCATGGATCGGTTTCGTCTATTCCTGAAAAAGAATCTGGTGAAGATCAAGATGCTCTCCCCTTAGGTCTTGCTAAAGGCCTTGGAGGAGGTGAGCGTAACTCGCTTCTATCGACACTTTCTGGGTCCAGCACCGGTCTACTTGGTCGCAGTGGTCTTCCTATCGATCCCGCCGCTTTGATAACACCCCTACTCGACTCAGCATCCCTTCCTGTCAACCCTACGAATCTACTCGGTCGACGTGGTCTTCCTGTTGATCCCACTGAATTAGCTTCCAGTCTCCTCGAAGGTCTTCCTGTCAACCCCACAAGTCTCCTTGGTCGAAGTGGTCTTCCGGTTGATCCCACTGAATTAGCCTCCAGTCTCCTCGAAGGTCTTCCTGTCAACCCCACAAGTCTCCTTGGTCGAAGTGGTCTCCCCGTGGATCCTACCAAATTAGCTTCCAGTCTCCTTGAAGGCCTACCTATCAACCCCACTACTCTTCTAGGACGAAGGAGTCTACCCGTCGATCCAACTCAATTAGCTTCCACTCTCCTTGAAGACCTGCCTGTTAACCCAGCTACTCTCCTTGGACGAAGCGGCCTTCCTGTTGATCCCACAGAATTAGCCTCCAGCCTCCTCGAAGGTCTTCCTGTCAACCCCACTACTCTCCTTGGTCGAAGGAGTCTGCCAGTTGACCCCACCGAGCTGGCATCAAGTCTTCTTGAAGGTCTTCCTGTCAACCCTACGAATCTACTGGGTCGAAGTGGTCTTCCTGTTGATCCCACTGAATTAGCTTCCAGTCTCCTCGAAGGTCTTCCTGTCAACCCCACAAGTCTCCTTGGTCGAAGTGGTCTTCCTGTTGATCCCACTGAATTAGCGTCCAGTCTCCTCGAAGGTCTTCCTATCAACCCCACTACTCTCCTAGGACGAAGGAGTCTTCCGGTCGACCCCACTGAGCTAGCATCAAGCCTCCTTGAGGGCCTGCCTGTCAACCCCACCACTCTTCTAGGACGAAGGAGTCTTCCGGTTGACCCCACTGAGCTGGCATCCAGCCTACTTGAAGGTCTTCCTGTCAACCCTACGAGTCTTCTTGGTCGAAGCGGCCTTCCTGTTGATCCCACAGAATTAGCTTCCAGTCTTCTTGAAGGCCTGCCTGTCAACCCCACTACTCTCCTCGGGCGAAGGAGTCTTCCGGTCGACCCCACTGAGCTAGCAACAAGCCTCCTTGAAGGTCTGCCTGTCAACCCGCCTACTCTTCTAGGACGAAGGAGTCTGCCCGTAGATCCGACTGAGCTGGCATCAAGCCTCCTTGAAGGTCTTCCTGTCAACCCCACTACTCTTCTTGGTCGAAGGAGTCTGCCCGTCGATCCGACTCAACTAGCTTCCACTCTTCTTGAAGACCTGCCTGTCAACCCCACCACTCTCCTTGGACGAAGGAGTCTTCCATTGGATCCAACTACTTTGGCTTCCAGCCTTCTTCAAGGTCTCCCTGTTAACCCTACGAGTCTGCTTGGTCGAAGTGGTCTTCCAGTTGACCCAAGCAGTGTGCTTAGTTCTCTTCCAGTTAACCCTAAAGACATCATTGAGAAGAACGAGATGCCAAAGCCACTTCAAAGCTATACCGGTTCGACAAAGCTTCCAATGGATGTCAAGAAAGTAGTCCCACTCCCGAGTCTTCCAGTCCTTTCCGGTCGATCCAGTCGTCGTCGTAGTCTTCCAATTGACCCAGATACTCTAGAAAAGTTAACTCAAATCGCAAATGAAAAGAACCCTCTCACAATTGGCCGTAAACCTGCTGGACTTCCTATTGATCCGGCCAATGATGCTGATCCTAAAAAGATTTTATCGAAAGTGGACAATTTGAAACATCAAGATTTGACTCAGCTTCCTTCTTCTCGCCTCGTGAAAGATACTACTGACCGTGCAGCCTCTTTACCTTTGAATAATTTACCTGAGACAGTTATTGATAAACTATCAGGCGTACGAAACTTACCTTTGACTAGAAGATCACGTTTCAGAAGAGTTCTTCGATCGGGTTCATTTGATGATGATGAAAAACCAGCCCAAGAAGACGGCACTACTATTGAAGCTAAGGATGACAACTCTTCAATGGCGCAAGACAAAGAAGATGGCTCTACGACTACTGAAGACAAAGACGAAGCCCCTGTCAATTTCATAGATGAGAAACCGGAAGACGAGCAAACCGATGGAGAAGACGACGCAGACTCAGATCCTACCCGACGCTTAGCCAAACGAGAACCTCAACTCGAACTCCCCAATATCGCTGATGCAAATGTCGCAATGCTTGTAGGGTCACCATTGTCATTACTTTCAAAAAGAAGATTATCACATGTTTCAGATCAACAAATTGGTATCAGTCTTAAGAAAATTATCGAAGAATGCAATCGAAGGTTCAAAGAAGGATGTGGTTCTAATCTTGAACGATGTAGATGGGATAAATCGATGAAAGTAAGTACTTTTTTCATTCAGTTTTATGCTGTAGTTGATTCCAATTCCTAACTATCTTTGCTGTTTCGATTATTAGGCATTCATCCTTAGCTTTCCTTGATTTTTTTGATTTAGCATAGAATTCTTTGATTGAATTCCATTTTTGTTGTCGTTTTTGGCTTCAGTGTGTTGTATTTCTTATAATTACCTGACCTATTTGGATTGTCATCTTTCGTTTCGTATTTCTTGATCAACCTCGTTCGTTGTTATTTTTTTGTATGCGACTAAATTATTTTTGGACAATGCAATCGCACCTTGCTTTATAAGATTCTAGTCTTCACTTGGTATGAAGAGCCTTGATCATTGATGGTTGCAATTGTGTTGAGCAACCCACTTCAAGCCACTGTGATCTTGAAGCTGAAGATTATGATGGAAGCCAAACCTAATGACTCTCCTTTATTTACACACTGATCAAGAACCTGGCTCCATCGATCATAATGCACCCTACTACATTTTTACTGACCTACGTAACATCACACCAACACAGCAAGTCCTCCACTGTTGAGAACCCCACCATCAACTGTCTGTCCAAAGCTTGTATGTGGTGACCATACTGACTATATGCAGTTCTGGGTAGATCGGCTGGATGAAGCTGGATGAGCAATAAGATTCTAGTAAACCGGTAAACTATAACGTCAAACGAAGATGGTCAACAAGAAATCCAGATCTCATCAAAGAATCAATCAAAAGCTGCAGCCAAGTCAAAGATGACTAAAATCAAATCGTCAACAAAGTCTCAAGACTCCAAAAACCTCTACAAAAGGAACTCCCATCATCTGATTACCTATCCGTTATCTTTTTCCAATGTTTTTCTCAACTGATTTACTTTCAAAACGACATCAATCTGGTTTTGGATTGTATTGGCTTGCTGCAACTGTTGCTAATTCAAAATCAACTATAACCAAATTATCAAAAAAAGAACTATTAACTGCTGATTTACAAAAAGCTTGGTAAACAAAAACAAAAACCATCCACTTCAATCGATGATAAGGAATTGACGATGGTGTGGTATTCGTTTTAGTACTACACTTGCTCATCCTCCTGAGCCTCTTGCTTTGAGACTTACTAGTGGTTTGTTACTTGGTATTACTAGAGTTTATGGTCAAGTAAATCACTTCTCCCGAAACGTTTCATTCATTTATGGTTTTGCTAATCTGCTGAGTCTGCTTTTGATACTGTTTATCAGCAATGGTCTTTATTCTATTTAGATGTCCAACACGCTTCACAATCTATTCGTAAAGCTTTTTCAACTATTGTGGAAGAGGTAAACTAAATTTCCCTTCGAGATATTAATGTACATAGTGGAAGTTTCAGTTTGATTTAATGTTTTCTTTTGATTTGGTGATCGGGTTGTGAATTCTTTCAGATTGACTTACCGGCTCAGCATGGTTCAAAATCTCATCATGGTGGAAATAAGGATATAAATTTACCTGGTGATACAGTAAGGTAAGCAAAAGATAGACTCTTAAAACCCATCCGATTGTCTTCTGATGGTTGACCTGGTTTTCGGTTTATTCCGTTGTTTTTTAAGACTTGATGCCATCACTCTTACAAGAAAAAGAGGTGATCTTGTAGAAGAATTGATGGATTTTGAATCCATGGATCCTTTTTCAATTTCTGATCTTAATGAAGATTTAGAAATCGAATTAGGTAGAGGATTAGGAAATACTAGAATCATTCCATTCACGGAAGATGGAAATGAAGGTATGGGTGTTCATCACATAATGATTTTTGATAGAAATATTGACATACATAATTCAAACTGATTTGAACCAACAAGCAGACTCAAGATCAATTGATTTGAATCAACAAAAAAGACCTAGAACCGATCGATTTGTTTCTAGACCAGAAGATATAAATCTTGTCGAACTTGAACCGATCCAATTACGTAATGATTTTATTGATAATCAGGATATGTGGATAGATAATCCAAGTTTTCAAGGAGGATTGGAAGTTGATGCTTTCGATGTTGGAGAAGTAAATTCAACCGATTTCTTATCTTTACATGATTGACTTCAAACTGACTCTTTCTATCTCGGTGAATGGATGATTCAGGGTCTTTTGGCTGGAATTAATCCCGAGTTGGATGCCGATTTTGGTATTACACCAGATCTTAGCTCGCAAAGTAATCCAGCTAGTTTAATTCCACAAGGCCCACGACCTGTCCAACTTTCACCAAGAGGATTAAACCAATCGTTCGTTTCTCAAAAATTTACTCCTAAGTCCTTTGAGTCTTTTTTATCAATGGTGATTGACTTGTGTGTCTTTCCAGGGTACGTGGATCGGTAATTGATCCTCTGCAGGATGTGAATATTCCACTCGACGATGAAGAGATGAGACCTCCACCAGTGCCAGTACGACCGGAGTCTGTAAGAAGTCATTTGGATGATCATCCCCTTTTTCCAGAATCAGATGATCGCGTGAGTGAAAAATGCATGACGTTTTTTCCAGAAAAAAGTCGACTCTAGTGGATTGACTGAATCTGATCTTCATCACTTTGAAATAGAATAATCTCGATGAACCGCTCAGAGGGCCTAACTCTCAAATCCCAGAAAGTTTCACAAACGGAACAATATCAGAAATGAATTCAAGAGATGCGTATATGATCAACCAATTCCAAACAAAAACAAGAAAAAGATTACACGAAAGATCTGGAATACAAAATGGAAAGAAAAAAATCAAAACTGTTGAACCAATCGAAATTGTTTTAAGTGAAAAAGAAATCAAAGAAATGAAAGAAGGATATAAAAATCAATTAGAAATTAGGAAAAAAGAATTAAATGAGATCAAAAGATTGAAAAGATCTAAAGAAAAAGCTAATGAATTACTTTTTGGTGTACCTAATTCTTGTAAGCATTTTTTCCATGTCTCTTAATCTGTCTTCAAGAAGTTGAATTGATTTACAAAATGAACGTGAAAACCGACATTCTTGTTTGCTGTTAACTACATATTCTTAGTACAAGCACCAGAATTAGTAAAACTATGGAACTCTTGCGTCAAAATGCCAAGAGGCCATGAAAGTACCCATGCAAAGACAAGTAAGTATCCCAACTCTCGCTCCAATTCCTTCGATCAAGATCTAACAAGTAATGTCGAAAAATAGGATTCGAAATTCGAGATGACATAATACCTGAAGATATAGAAGGTAGAGAAGGCATTCAAGAAAAAAGTGAAGCAATAGCACTTTCAAGAAGAGAAAGATCGCGTAGAACTCCATTAGGAGGACTTTCTGAACAAGAATTAGAAGGACAAGAAACTGGATTCGAAGGAGAAATTACGTCTCGTGCTGAATTTGGTTTTCAAACTCGTTTGTTCAAACTTCTTGAATATAAATTAGTAATTGATAAATGGTTTTAAACTGATTGAAGGAAAATGTTTGTTTTATTTAGCTTGGGATGATGGACAGATGGAATCTGGTACAGGTTTAGGAGAAGAAGAAAATGGGAGACCAGTTGAATTATACGAAGATGTAAGTCAGGAATCTTCAACTTGAATTCTTCTCTCGAAAAATGAAGCTTGATTGATTTTGGGGTTTTAGGTTATTGGTAGACATAGAGCTCAAAGTGTTGAGGGAGCAAGTTCTCAAACCCAAGCAATGACAGATATGCCATGGAATAGAGCTATTCAAAACGATCAAGGTATAGATTATTTTGAAGGTCATGGTAGTGCGATTGAATCTTCTACAGGAAGAAGTACCAGACAATTTGTGGGAGAAACACCAGTTAAAACGTATGGCTTTTCTCCCCTTTTTTGGTTTGGTTTGCGCAAAGATTTTTGAAATTTTTCTTCTTCTTTTTGGTTGAATTTTGTTTAGGAGGTTTGGTAGACAATCTTCAGTTGTTTCTTCCGTCAGAGATTCTGTTGTAGGTATGAATACCCCCCTTGGACGAGGACGTGAAGGTGAGCAAATTGGGGAAAATAGAGCTCATAGTGGTAAGTTTTCTCGATCCCTCCCAAAACAAAAAAGGCAAAACCCTTTTTTCATCTTTCTTTTCTAGTTCTATGATTGAATTGATAAGTTTTTCGTATGGATTGAAAAATAAAGAGGTAGATATTCAACTCGAACAAGATAGTTTAAATTTCTTAGAATGGACTAAGACTCAAGTAAGAAATCAATCTGATTTCCTATGTAAGTCAACCTAATTTGAATCATGAATCATCCATGAGACCAATTTGATGATTTCTCTTTGTTGGGGTCATGGATTGTTTTTAGTTAGTGATCTAGCACCAGTGACTACTACAACTGGAGCAGTAGCAGCACAAGCATTTCATAAAATTTTGTCTCTTACTACTAAGAATTTAGTCAAAGTTATCGAACAAGATGAACCTTATGGAGAGGTATGATTAACTTTGATATTTTATGGGGGTTTTTGATTCATTTTTGATTGTGTTGTGGACTTTTTGCATTTTCAGATTCGATTACAAGTGGTTAGACCTCATTAAGGAAACTGCTTTCAAGTTTTGGGGTTGGGAGGTCATATTTTAAAATCCACTCCTTCCACTCAAAAGAGGGAGTAGTAGCAAGTCTGGCTCGCAGCGCTACGTAGCGCTACTAGCCAGGAAAGCGTTAGGGTAGTTATGAAGCAAAGCCCCAAACTTCGGTAGGGTTAGCGGTGGCGGAAAAAAGAATTCGGACCATGATCATAGCGAAGAGCGTAGGTCAATTTCGCCGCGCTACTCAGCGTTACAAGCCAAAAAAAGCCTCGTTTATTTAATTTTTGTAGGTGATAAAAAATAAAGGAAATGTGAAAAATGGTGTAAACGAGCGTAAAGAAAAGGACACTAAACATTGTAAACGAGTGTAAAGAAAGTGAAAGAATAGAAAAAGATGAATCGATAAAAACAACTCAAACACAAGTAGGTCAAGAAACAATGTAAACAAGTGTCAAGAAAGTAAAACGATAGAGAAAAGATGATCTGAGAAAAGATGATCTGATAAAAAACTCAACCACGAGTTTGGCGGGTTTTCTTTGAGATGGCTTTCTTTGCAAACTCTACAACTTTTCCCACCTCAGCAAAAAGCCCAGTTAGAGGGATCCCTTCCCCCATCCATAAAGTACTACTCACTAACATCTCAGTCATTCTTGGCTTTAAGGCTCCTCGCTCGTTGGTACAAATTTTACCAGCAATCGAGAAAGAGCGCTCGGGAGGACTTGATGCCGCTGGAGTTGCAAGGTAGTTGCGAGCTAAGATGGATAGCACAGGATATTTACCTTCATGAGACTATAAATAAAGATATGAAGATCAGTAAGGTGAAATTGGAGTGAAATAGAATATTGAAATTAAATCATGACATACCCTCCACCAATCCAACGCATGCTGTGGATTATTGACATTGGGAGTTTTCATCGGATCGATGCCTTGAATGTATCGGTCGAGTTCGTTAAGATTGCTTTCAGTTGCCTTCTCATTGTAAAAATCAAGATATCTGGGTGAAAATATACTGGGAGGCGATTCAACTGAAGCTGGAGATGTGGTGACGGGTTCTTCTTGATCTTGAGTTTGAGAATTAGCTTCTTGATTATGACGCTCACTATTAAACTCTACTTCTAATAACGCCTCGGCTCGGTCTTGCTCAGGAGAACCTTCGCCAAATGCATGAGAGAAAAAGCGAAGACGTAAACCAGGGTGAAATACTGCGGCAAGGACTAATGTATCACAAGCAAGTGCTTCGTCTAGATATAGTTTGATCTTGCCTAACATGACGTCCACCATCGGGTAAAGCGGATCGTTCAAGTGCATCACTTTCAATCGATCCTCCATATTTGCCTTGAGCTGAACATATTTGACCAGTACCATGCAGCCAGTAGGAATATTACCTTCCATCTCTCGAGTCAAAAACTTGTATGGCTACAAAGTATGAGTGATGTAATCAAATCAGTATTAATGAACAAGTTAAGATAATCAAATATTGAAAGACTTACAGTGAGGATATCCAGCATATCCCTCAAGGCTTGCCAATCAGCCACCGAAAATATGACTTCTTCAAAATATCCATATTTCTTGCCGTCCTTGCGTGAACGACGCTTCTTTGAGTGAACCTCAGCCAAGTCCTCTTTCATCACCCCATCAATCAACTGAAAAGGAAGAAACTCATTAGCATAGCACAAGGTTGCACAAGAGTTAAAGTGAGTGACCTACATCTCGCGCTTCCCACATACGTTCCCATCGCTCAGCGCGGATACCCCATCGGATTCCATGGCCAGATAAAAGAGCCTTGAGGGCAGGTAAGCCATCTCGTTTGCGCTCGACATTTTCTCTTTCACGGCACCGATTGAAATCGGCCCGGTGGCCACTGGATCGGGTTAGTTTTTTGTTAACCGTGTCCATCTATATAGGTCAATGAAGTGAGGGATGTAATTAGTAAAGAAAAGCAGGCAAGATGAAATAAAATGAAATGATGACAATATAACTATGAACAAGGGAATAATGAAACTTACATCTTTACTTAATTGTTTCATGTATGTGTCTCCAAGCAAGTAAGCAGTCTTACGGTTTCGATAGGTTTCCGGTTCATCTTCCTGCTCCGGATCGTGCTCCTCATCATCAGAGTTGGAATCCGAATCGGAATCCGAATCACTGGAGCTACAATTGTCATCAGAAGGTGGATATTCAGCTCCGGATTGGTTGGTAACGTCAGCTTCCGACCCTTCATCCTCATCAATAACGGCCATGACTTCTACCGGGGGAAATCGACCTAAGGCGCTATGTCGGATGCGCCTGGGTTTCATTCCAAGTGCATCAAGCCCAGCTTTGACAATAAGCCCCATTTTGTGACAAAAACATCGAACCGACATAGACTTCGACTTCCAAGGGAAATCGAAACCGGTTTTGAGCCCCTCTTCTCGGAGCTGGCGTTGCATTTCCCGGCCAAGTGTAATATTGTTGCTGCCTGAATCAGACACACCAGCGAGCATGTAATATCAAACATGATATTAGTACATCTGAGCAAGAAAGATAAGGATGTGAAAACGATAAAGCAAAAGAAAAAAAAGAGTAACTCAAAGAGAAAAAGGGGAGAAAAATGAAAAACTTATCTTTTTATAAAGATCGTTCTTCTTCAAGATAGTCACCATTGGTACAGCTAATAAGTGCCCCTTGTGATGCCACGCAACAAGCTTCAAACTCAGATGTCTAACTACATAAGTCCAGTCCTTCTTGATGAAGGATACAGACGCGCCAATAAATGCATGGAGATTACCCTTCAGTGTCCAAACGTCCTGAATCAGGCAGAACTTGCTGTCCAACTCCTACGAAAAAACCAGACAAAAGAAGATCTATGTCAATCTTCAGGTACTTAGAGAATCAAATCATAGAGCAGTGACTTACCCGGAGCTCTTTATCAATGACTGAATCCCGGAGGGAAAGATATAGTTTTTGCGCCTCCTCAGCTACCCACTTGCGACCAAAGACCCGGGCGTCTGGACACAGCCAATAGAAAATCGATTTGAGTAAAGGATCATCAATTTGCTTGAAGGGCAACGCCTGGGCTACTTGCCACACAGCAAGGGCTTGGTTCAAGGTTTGGTTTGAAAATTTGGGTGCTGATACTAGAAAAGCTGCGAGGGAGTTTTGCTGATTCTGCTGAAGTCGTTGAGCACGCAGCTCGGATACTGTTGGCGGGAGTTTGGCGCCAGCTGCGATTGCCTGATTACGTCGAGGACAACCAGCACCAGACTTTCCTGCCTGGTTGTAACCATCCCGATGGCCCTTGAGGTTGGATCGACGTGAGCTCGCGCTCACTCGGACAACCTTGAAGCACTTGCGGCACTTGTAGGACAGGCCAGGTTGGTCGAGTGGCTACCAATATTTTTAATGTAAGTTGTCAGTTTTGATACTCGGTGAAGTTGATTAATGAAATGATACAGTTAATGAGAAGAACTTACATCGTTATCTCCATGGGTGGGAGGGTCATAATAATCGAAGGGATCATCAAACTCTTCATTTTGGGGTTGATTTTGCTTCCTTTTTCTGATCCGTAAGTTTTCTTCATCTGAGTCCTGGGCCAAGTCCACCTCAGGAGGTCCTGATGGTGCCTTTAGATTGATTTGATTTCATATCAGCCATCAGTACAAGTGATAATGATAGCATGAACTTCACTTACCATCCTCTGTTCATTTGAATCAGCATCTGATACTGAAAGGGATTGGCCTCAATTGGTACGTGTTGCCTGAGATGCAGATAAAGGAAGAGAGGAAGGAAGAGAGGATAAAAATTTGAAGGAGTGACTAAATGAAAGATCAAATGAAAGGAATATAATAAGCTCACTCTAGATGAACCGTGTGAAACACCGCTGACTCTTCCACGGGCTGGTTCGAGAGACGGTTGATCGCCAGGTAGAGATGCTGATTGTTCACGTCGGCGGTGAACATATGAACCGCGTGAAACACCGCTGACTCTTCCACGGGCTGGTTCGAGAGACAGTTGATCGCCAGGTAGAGACGCTGATCGTTCACGTCGGCGGTGAACATGGGCGTCCCTGACATCGCGGACCCCATCAAACAGACGATGCCGAGAGTCAGAGGATGGGGTGATCATCCCAGGTACTCGTCTAGCTGGTGTAATAATGCGAGACAAGCGCCTAGGTGCCAGATTACCATTGTCAGTCTCGTATCCAGAAGTCTCGTATCCAGAAGACAAAAAGGAATCGATGGTTGGTTGTTTGTTGAAAGTAGACATGATTGTATGTTTTCTAAAGGAATCGAGTAAAGATTCAAATAAACTAATGATATTGTTCTAAGGGAATTGATTGAAAGTTTGATGGAAATAGATTCAAGATCAGTTCTAATATTGATAGATGATGCAAAAAGGAAAGAAAGTAGGTATACGAGCCTTCCTATTAAGTTGAAAATACCAGGTCTCCGAGTGACAGTCAATATTGAGTGTCCACACTTGGTAAATTGAAGCCATGATCGAGAGACTTGAGAGCCGGCACCAAATCCGATTGCTAGAATCGAAGAGGGCAACGACTCGAGAGAAACTGTGGAAGGCAATGAAAGGCTTTCAGAGTCGGCACCAGGTCCGATCGCCAGAATTGAACAAGGTGAATGATTAGGGTGGTGGTTCGAGAGAAGCTGTGGAAGGGAATGGCTGGAGATCGTGTGGGCTAACCCCAATAGAAGATAGGAGGCGGTGGCGGTTATAGTAGTGGTGGCGGCTGTACAGTAGGGGCAAGCGTACCGGTAAAAATCCCGGCCCCGAAATGATAGCTGTAAGCGTAACTGTTGGATTTTTCAGGTCCGGGGTAACACAGTGGCCATGCCCGGCGCTACGCCGCGCTACTTTCTGCGCAGCAAGCCAGGCTTGGTAGTAGGTAGCTAGGTGGATATGAATCACTATATTTTCTCTGGTTAGCTCATGTATCAGATGATTATAACTGTTCTAGGTCAGATTGGAGATTCCTCTATCTGAATTGATAGGATGCTGAAGATTTGGCAAGTCTCTGAAACGCGTTCAAGTTGACAAATTGTGGTGTTCAAAGTGTACTTACATGCACTCCAACATCACTCGTCACATTTTTTTGATTCCTATGAAAGGCCTTATGGAGCTCAAAACCTCCTGAGCTACGATCATGCCATTCTGACAATCGTATCCGGGTCAAACTGCTCGAAAGGATGTGATTACAATCCCAGTTATGCTCATGATCTTATGATATGATCAAACTGGGAGAGGAGAAGTCAAGGAGCCTTACACGCTGCAGGCTCTCCACGTTCACGTTCAAGTTTTTCTGAAAACATATCTTCACTCCAATGCGTCATGTGCGTAATACCAGCTGTTATCATCTGTTTTGATGACTACCTCACACCAAAGACACGACGTGTGAAGACACTTCCATAGGCACTCGTAGGGTAAGAAGAGACCTAGGTGCACATGTAACTTTACATACACAGCAACGAAGTGTAAGGTAAAGATACAGGGAGAAGAAGAAGGAGAATTTTTCCTCACTTCCAAATTCCCCAACTCTTCTCCCGCGCATAGTCAAATAGAGTAGTCAAGCTCTCTCTTTTCCTTCCTTCTCACACTTTAGTTTACTAAAAAAATTTTAGCCTTAATTTCACTCGTACATTCACATCAGAAGCCAGATAGTACAATACATAATTCGAACTCTGAATAACGAACTCTAACACAACCCGACCAAATCAAAAACTCAAAGAAATGGACAGTGAACAATTTCAGGACTTAATCGATGAGAAAGTACGAGGTGAAGAAGGAAGCGGAAAGAAGGAAGAAGTCGGAGAAGGAGAAGATAAGGAAGGGAATGGAATTGGAGTCCAAGAGGAGAAGGAAAGGCGGGAAGGAGATGAAGGAGAAGAGCAAGAAGCAAACGAGATGCAGATCGAACCCGGTCCAAGCAGCGCAATAGCCAACCCCCAGCCAACTAGGCAGTCGAAAAGGAAAGTAGGTCCACCAAAACCTTTCCCACCCCCACCCCCACCAATGTCTCAGAAGGAAGCCATGAAGGTAATAGGCCCTATCCGTATCAAAAAGCCAAGAGGACGACAACCAACGAACAAGAACACGGTTGGAAACGAACCAGGCAAAGGAGTGAATGTTAATCAAACCGGAATTCGGGAAGCGGAAGGAACCACAGACCTACAGCATCAACCCCCGCCACAAACACTCCTACAGAACCCAAACCGACCACCACCATCCCGCCTCCAAACCACACAAGACCAGACCGACCAACGTAGCAACCAACAGTTGGTTGCCAACCACGAGGAAGGAGAGGAACTCGCGAATAATTGGCAGGAACAAGTCAACCTGTGGAACGACACAATGCGACAAGAAAACCCAAGAGCGATCAGAGGAGTTGGAGGAATAGTGCTGGGAGAAAGAGATGAAGGTAAGCATAAATGATTCGACGGTTACCTTCAATTATATTGTCAACCCCCCCAAGAGAACTACATCCAAAAAAAAAAAAAAAAAAGAAACGATGCCTCGAAGAGAGATGATACAATAAGGATATGCTTCCCCCCGGGAAATGCCTCTGAAGGAGATGTACCAACCCAAAGCTTAAAGCAAAAGGGGGAAAGAGTCAGACAAACACCCAAACAATCTAGAAGTCTCTAAGAAAGGAACTGACAGTGTAATTGGTCCGCCAATCAAACCATCAGACGAAGTCTATGAAGACGACGTAGAAGTCAAAGTAGAGACAACAGACCCGATTGTCCAACGGCTTGAAGAAGAGATCAACGAAGCCTTCGGCAAAGACAAAGATCGTTATGACAAGCTAGTCGAGCAAAAGAGGAAGTGGATGGAGTTCGTGGACAACAAATCTACCCCTGTAACTGAAGCAGCAGAAAAGTCAGCCAAACCAACAAGCGAGAAGAAAAGGATGAAGGTGCAAAAAGGAGAGATGATATCTCACCAGCTACATGCCCTCTCACCATACTGGGATAACGTCATGAGAGAACTCAACAGACATATCCCGTTATCAATCTTCGACCCAAAATGGCTAGCACAAGACACTGCATTCATATCGACTAAGACTTCGCGTACAAAGACAAAAGACCCGGACTCGAATACCTATAACGGCTTCCCGATACCCAGTGAATGGAGAACCACGTTAGCACAATGGCATCAACAGAAGAGTCTCTTCCTGAGATACCTAGCGTGGTATAAGCAAAGTGAAGTCCTACCAACTATGGAGAAGCATTTCGATAATGTCTTGGACATCCAACGAGAGAACGGAGGTTGTTGGATGATAGCGTACTGATACGACATGAGGATGAGAAGTACCTACATGGTGTTCAAAGTAGGCGAAGAAGGGTCCGAAATGGCAGATATTGGTATACGGAACCCGAAGATAGAACGGCTAGCGGAGCGTGATACTTTGAGGTGTTATGATGACATGTATCTCGACAACCCCTACGCCATAACGGGAACCAAGAGCTTCATTTACCCAATGGACGGTTCCAATTGGGAAGGGAGATCGTCAAAGTGGGACGACCCGAGCAGAACCGATATAAAAGAGGACAAAAATGAGGTGAGTGCTGTGGTACACTCAACGAAGAAACAGAGGTACTAACAAATGAATAATCACCACACCAGACGACGAAATCGACTCAGTCGATGAGATCGACAGCCTGGGCACAATCTAGGTACGAGCCGCATGAGAACACACATGCGAGCAGAGCAACACCCCAGGCGTACAGTCACTATGTCCAATCAGCGAGCCACACCCAAGCGGGTATAAGCCAACCCCAAACAGACGCACAACGGGGACAAGGTGAGTACTCTAAACCATCCAAACAAAGTGCATAACACCAGAACTAACGAGCAAAAACCCCCCCACAGGACGGTACAGAGGAAGGAATTTCATACCGAACTTCAGAAGTAATAGGGGTGGAAGAGGTCGAGGTGGTGGAGCACGGGGCGGACAGAATGGTAGTAGGGAAGGTGAAGGTGCAACCACGGGTAGCATCCAGAGCGACCAGACCCAAAGGCAGTGAGTTACTAGAGTACATAGAGTAGACATTGATAGAAATGAAGTCCAAAATGAAATGAGACATACCTTGTGAGAAAGTGAGAGTGAGAACTGATCAAGAATTGATCTGTGTCAGCAACGAGATCCCAATTGAGCCAACACCGAGCCCCAACAAGGTCCCAGATGTAATTGAACCAACACCAAGCCCCAGCGCCGCGACAAGCGATGAGAGACGGGCTAGACACGAGATGGACAAACGTTGGCCAACTAAAGCACAATGCGAGTTGAATATACCTGAATGGGAGGAACTAATGAGAGAACTCGGACTCTTAGAGGAATGGGGAGATGTGATTGTGAGCATGAAGGAAGGTTTTGACCAAGGCATTCCTGATCATACAATAGATGATCTACCCTGGTACACCCCACCAAACCAATCCTCGGCCCTGTTAGTGAAGGACAAGATAGAGAAAACAATCCAAAGAGAATGGAGAGAAGGCAAACTGTTCGGACCCTTCACGCACCAAGAAGTACGAAGCCGATTTGGGTTCTTCCGGTCGAACCCAATGGGGAGTGTAGTAAATAATGACGGATCATTTCGAATGATCAGCAACCTATCTTTCCCTAAGCACGCACCGGAGATACCATCGGTGAACTCCTTCGTGGATAAGAATAAGTTCACAACAAACTGGGACGACTTTAAACGGCTAGCGATCTTCCTGAAGAAAAACGGTAATACCTGGGAGTTAGCAATCTTTGACTGGGAAAAAGCCTATAGGCAAATCCCGACTCACCCGTCACAATGGAGGTTCCTCCTAATCCTCGATTTCCAAAACAGACTCTGGGTTGACACAAGAGTGGGGTTCGGGGGTGTAGCCGGCTGTGGCACGTTTGGACGAGCCGCAGATGTCTGGAAAGAAGTAATGATGAAGGCGCTAGGAATCCCGATGATCTTCCGTTGGGTCGATGATAATCTGCTACTGAGAGAAACCGGCTCGAATATCACAATGGAATCAGTGTTACATTTAAGCGCAGGCATGGCAGTCAAATCAAATCTTACCAAGTACAGCGATTTCGCAGACGAACAAAGATATCTTGGCTTCATTTGGAATGGACGAGAGAAGACAGTCAGACTGCCACGAGAGAAGTTAGAAACAAGGATCCTACAAGTGTCAGACCTATTGAACGGAGCGAAATGGAAAAAGAAACCTGTGGAGAAGCTAGTAGGACAACTGTGTCACATAACTTACATAATGCCGGATATGCGCTGTTGTATGAAAGAATTGTACGGATGGGAGGGCGCTTGGCGTAACCCGGAGGCAAGAAGAGGTATAACAGAAGCTGTTAAAGACGATCTAGAAGAATGGTTAGCAGTGCTAACGAGCTTTGAAAATTTGAGAATCATACCTGATTTAGAACCGGAAGAAATAAATTGGGTTGGAGACGCGTCTACGTCATACGGAATCGGGGTTCTGATAGGATCTAATTGGGGTAGGTTCAGACTACTACCAGGCTGGGAAGTAGTGGGAGTAGACCAAGTAAAGCGGAAAATCGCTTGGATCAAAACCGTGGCGGTGAGACTGGGATTGTTGATGCTGCTGAAACTGAAGGATACAAAAGGGAAGTGTTTCATTGTCAGAACTGACAATACAACAACTGAGGCAGCGATGCGAAACGCACGATCAAAAGACCGAGCGGTGAACAACGAGTGGAAGAGAATTCAAAAACTCTTAACAACTCACCAGTGCTCTATCCAACAAGTGAGAGTAGCGTCAGGCGATAACAAGGCCGACGCACTATCTAGAGGTTTAGAAACCGATTTAGCCTGGTTCGAAGAAGTGAGGATCAAAATCCCAACCGACCTACTTACCTTTATACGTCAAGAATGAAAGCAGTACAGGAAGGGAAAAGTGAAGAGATCGATTTGAAGAAGATTCAGAATTTCATAAAAGACGGAGATGGGAAGGTGCGGTTACAGGAAGACTCAGTTCAACGATTGATGATTTTAGGCGGTAGCTGGAAGAGAGAGACGTTAGCACAGTACAATTCAGCAATCACAAAATTCATTGCATTCGGAAGGGAGAAGAATCTGGAGAGGAGCCAAATCTTACCAGCAAGAGAACATCATATCCTTCAATTCATCCAATGGGCAAGCCCAAAAGTCGAAGGCGAACAATCGACCAACCAAGAAATAAAGCCGACAACAACGGAAGCGTATCTATCAGGTTTGAGAGCATGGCATAGTTTTCACCATGTGAAGTTTCCAGAGATCGGACAGAAAGAGATAAACCTGGCTCTGAAGGCAGCGAAGACGATAGACGCAAGAACCAAAAAGAAACCTAAGAAAAAGCCGATTCAAATCAAGCACCTTGTTAGCCTTCTAAGACATATGGAGAGGAATAACGAGGCAGCAGAGTTGGCAGTAACAATTGCATTGGTAGCCTTTTGGGGTCTAGCTAGAATGGGTGAACTCACAAGTTTGAGAGTCTCTAAAGTGATCCGAATCAACAATGTCACAATATCTCCCGACGAACAAATGATGACAATTAAGCTGAGAGAGGCGAAGACCGCGAAGCCGGGTGAGACTCAGGAGTTGAAACTACAAAGACATAAATCGCTACTTGATCCAGTTTCGGCGGTAGAAAGGTTGGTACGGCGCCACATAAACAACGGAGGGTACGATGAAGACGCATTATTTACGCATAGCCGAGGCGAAGGAAAGGAAGGGTACCAATTGAATAAAGAAGGAGTTATGGCAGTGTTGAGGAAAGCATGGAGGAAAGACAACTTCGACGGTCTCACCGGACACTCTTTCAGAGTAGGCGGGGCGTTGTTCTTATGGAATGAAGGCGTACCGCTAGAGAAGATAGTAGTGAAAGGTCGTTGGAAGTCTAAGGCTTACGAACGATATCTAAGGAAGTTCACCACGGAAGAGCTGGAAGAGAACAAGGACTGGTTGAAGAAATTAGAACTTAAAGATTGAGTGGAAGTGAATTAAGAAGAACGTAGCAATTTAAGAACGTGTAAGCAGAGCACGAGAGTCAGGGAAAACTGATGTGAGGAAAGAATCTGAGGAATCAATTGATGCAGAGGTTAGAAAGTTCGCTGCGCAAATGAAGTACAATTCACAAAACTGAGAGTAAATAAAGTTTCAGCTGTATCTGTGAATACAGGAAATCAATTGGGGGGGATCTGCAGGCGGAAAGCCACGCAGAGACCTTGAGCTACCGGAGAGTATGGGTGTCCTAGCGAGCTCGGGGGCTCTCCGATACCCCAAGGTAGGGTAGGCTAGGACATAGCTCTCCGGTACCTTCTCAGGCACTTTACGTAGTGTCGAGCAAGGAGCGGGCCGGGTTTTAGACCGCTCAGGACCTCTTACGTAGGCCCTGAGGGGCCCCGGCACATCTCCAGAATCGACGCACCCCCCCACATTATTCTCAACTTAGGATAACCTTAAGTTAAGGATAACATAAGGCTGAGAAACTACCAAAAACATGTATTATAATTAGTAGTAGTAATTATAAACATAAGAGCTTGTACAACCTATGACTTACCAATAGAGTAGAGATGGATGACTACTTCACACCAAAGACACGACGTGTGAAGACACTTCCATAGGCACTCGTAGGGTAAGAAGAGACCTAGGTGCACATGTAACTTTACATAAACAGCAACGAAG